TACTGTCCCCAACCCCATCTGGAGGGGATAATAAACAGGAAATGATGAGACCAATGCCAGGTGGACACTGGGTCCCATACAAGGTGGCCATCCCCCAAGACAATGCCCAGCTCCACCCCATCCCTCATCATCCCTGTCCTTGCAGGGTACTTGAAGCTAACCAAGACCCTCACCAGAAAGCATGTCACCATGGCCCAAAAGCAACTCACCCAACCAGGGACAGACTAGAAGTCTTGCTTTAAAGAGGAGGAAACAGATTCAGAGAGAGGTTGGGTGACCTGCCTGAGGCCACACAAGAAAAGTTGTCCTTTAAGACTTGGGGGGCGGGTGCTCTTGGTCTGTGAGCTGACTGAGGTTTCAAGCAACCCAGAGGTCAAATTGGGGAGGGGAGGGCCTCTATTTCTGGCTTTATCAGGGCTGAGTGGCCTCCAGTCTACCCTGGGAAACCCAACTCACTGGCTGTGCCCCTACTCCATGAAGGGTGTGGAGGAGGAAGGCACCACCCTGAAATGATTTAGAGAAGGGAACCACTTCCTCTTCCCGCAGACACTACCCCCCAAAGGGCAGTCAGGGCCTGCACTGGCACAGCTCCTTGGGCACACATCCCCAGGCACAGGGTGGACACAATGCCTTGGGCCCTGACCCGCCCAAGAGGAAGACAGGCTTCCTTCCCAGGGTCCCCTCCCCCAGTCCATGCTGGGATGCTGCCCTGAGAGGGCTTGTGCATTATCCTTGCTGGGAGATAAAAGGTAAGGGGCCCCATTTTCATTTAAAACCCCAAGTAATGATCTGTTGGCTGACTCTGCACTTTGGACTACAGGAAAGGCATTGCTAGGCAGTACCCCTCCCCCTGGGCTGTCCCTCCTATTGTCCAGGGAAAGAGTGGGAAGAGAGGGAGGATGCACAGACTGCAAAGGGGAGGAAGAGGCAGAGAAGAGGAAGAAGAGAAGGGCACACCCCTCTCCTCTGCAGTGGCCTGCAGGGCTCACCCAGACCCTCAGGCCATTCCCCAGTCGCTAGGCACACACAAATGTGTGGACTGGAAATCTGGAGCCACCCTTTTGGGGCTCCCATCCCTGGCTCCTCTACTGATTGCTTCCAACTTCTCCACCCCACTCATAAATTGAAACAAAATAAGAATAAGAACTGTGGCTTTTACACTCTGTTCCTTCAGTGCCTGTGTGAAGATGGGAGGAGGGTGCCCACTGAGCTCTGCAAACTCCCATGGGCTGCAGCAGGCAGATTTGGGGGGTAGGGATGGGTGTGAACAGATTGTATCCACAACTTCCAGGACAGGATGGAGTTCTGGCCTAGGCCTCTTATCTCTCTTTCCCTCCAGCCTTCAGGATCCAAAACAGAGTGGGGGGGAGCGGCGTGGCTTGGGGGGGGGGGGGGCACCTTCCCTACGCCCCCTACTGGGGGAAGGCAGGAGGTTCTAAGGCAAAGGCAAGGCCTCAGCAATGGGGGAGGCAGTTCAACATTGGCACTAACCCCCACTCCCTATCCGCTCCTCACACCCTGGAGCACCCCCCACAAACCTCTCCCAAAGCTGCCTATCTGGATGGTGGAAAACAGCCCAGCTTTGCCATCTTACAGGCCCAATTCCGAGCCAAGGTCCCTTAACCTCCCCCAGCACCGTTTCCTGGGTGTAAATGCAGATAATGTCTCTCTCCCAGGATTGTAGGGTTTAAGATTTGTAAAGCACAGATTAAAGTCCTGACACACAATGGGAGCTCCACAGATGTTAGCATCCCATTCTCTCCAGCTCCCATTTACAAAGGGCCTAGGTCCCAAGACACCATGTCACATGCAAGGCAGGGAGCTAAGTGCATTAGTCGATGATCTTGCCTAATTCACATCCCTCTGAGGGGTTCTGGTAATATCCTTGTTTTACAGACGAGGAAACATGCTCAGAGAGGTTGTCAGCACATAGTAAGTGGCACAAAGGTCCAAGTTTTAACTGTGAAGCCTGCCTACTCCACAGCCCCAAGTCAGACCCCTTTCCCCGTGGAATTCGTAGGGTGAGCAACAAAAAAGGCAGATTAGCTCTCCTCTCCAGCCTAGAAGAGCTGTAAGAAACAGAGATACTTCCCTCCCAAACACAACACAATCTACACCCCTTACCCACTCTGTGTCCTAAGTCACACTCCCTCCCGCCTCAGCAGCAAACAAGCTGACACCCCCTCCCCAGCTCCAGATCTGATTCTCCCAAAACACATTCACCTCTCACCCAGTGTACATAAGCCATTAATCCCCTTCCCAACAACACATCCAACCTTGACCCCCCTCACCCCTAAAACACACACAACCCTGACCTTCCCCATAATGCACACAGAATCCCAAACCTCCACAGTAAACACTAGTCCTCAGAGATCAAGCCCTAGGGGCTGGCCTGGGGGGAGGGGGGAATCCCTGTACTATCTCTGGGGCTCCCACCCTGGCTCCCTGGGAGACTATAGGAGGACAAATACCCACCCCTCCCCACAGTGACCTGGAGAGGATTTCTGTCGTCCCACAGGCCACTAGGTCTCTGAAGGGCACACCCAGGCCACCTAAGGCACTGCCTCCTTCCCACCTAGGGAGAGGGATGAGGGGGTAGGAAAGAGCCAACACTTTCAGGGAATGGGAGGAGGGAGCCTCATCAGTGAGGTTTCCTACAAAAAGGGTGGCAGAGGACCAGAGCATGTGATTGCTCCCTGCAGGAACGGAGGGTCACTGATTTCTACCTCTCTTAGGAACTGCCTGACCCCCAGGGCCAGCCCCATGCCAGCAGAGGCTAAGCTGCCTCCATCTCTGAGGCCAGGCATGTCATGCTTTCCTGCCAAGAGCTGAGGAGCTCTAGTCACCAGGCACCTCAGCCCTGCAAGAGAAGGAGGGAGGCCGATGGTCACGCCTCTGGTCCCAGAGCAGAGGAAGGTCAGGGAGAAGCTCAGACGCTGGGGGTCCGGATAGGAAGATAAGTTGTTGTTGTTTACTAGGGAGGGGGGAGGAGCAGAAAAACCCACAGGCTCACACAGGGAGGGGGCAGGAAGGGGGCATTGCCTAACCTGGGTGGGGAAAGCCAAAGAAGGCTACACTGCCTGAAATGTGGGCACCCCACCCTGAGGAGAGAAGGTTACCAGGGTGGGAAGCCCTCCCCACCCACCTCTAAGAAAGAGGAAGAAGCTTGCAACATTCAGGGCAGGGCAAAGCATTCGCTCAGTCTGGCACAGGACGGGCACAGGACGGGGCCAGAGCCCGGCCCCCACCTCCAACCAGCTGATGAGTCCAGGCTCCAGGTGGACAGAGTGTCTGGGAGCTCTGTTCCCATCACCTGGGGGAGGACAAGTTGTCCATAGGCACCAGGTTACAGACCCCCAACTCCTCCTTCCTTAAAAATCCCACTAGCCAGAAGCAGACACTCTTCTAGCTCCAGTGACCCAAGCTCAGAATGTGAATCCCAGTCCCTTCAAATACAGCAAAAATTCCACACAGATACACCCACCCATTCCCAAGCAACCCTGAACCCCAAAGGCCAGCCTCCCCCCATCGTTAGCATAGACTAAAAGACCAGACCAGAATCAGGGTCCCCAGACTCTGTCCACCTCACACTACTACATGAGGTGGAAAGGAGAGAGGGAGGAAACAGATGAAGGTCTGAGAAAGGGTATCAGGGAAACCGAGGCAGCACCTGCCTGCTCCCTGGCTCCAGGGCATAAAGACTAGGGGGCATAAAGGAGCACAGACATAACATCCCTGCTCCTGGCGGCCGGGGGGACCTGGGAGGGAGGGGGCTGTGGCAAAGCCAGAGGAGGCGATCCAGGAAGCAGTGGTGGCGGTGGGCAGCCAGCCAGTGTGGGCAGTGAGGCGCCCTGCCAGGGCCTGCCCCAGGGACAAAGAGACTCCCTGGCTCCGGGGAGAGGGCGCTGCCCCCACACCAAGAAGGGGGCACTGACCCAGCCCAGCCAAGCGCTCAGGGCAGTGGTGCCAGGCAGTTTGCCAGTGGCCGTGGGAGGGGTGGTGGGTGCCCGGGGCAGGGCGTTCAGTCCCTGCTGGCCAGGAGAGGTGGGACACGTTTCCCAGGTCAGCAGCTGACCAGTCAGCCAGCCAGCCGGCCATGGCCCATTCTGCTGCTTCCACCCCCTCCCACCCCAGGCCAGGCCCTGGCTCTCTCCTCCCCCCAGCCCTGGCCTGGCGCCCAGCTGGGCCCTGGGGGCCAGAGTTACTGTAAGCGGCCTGGCAGGCCCCAGCCCTGGACTCTGCCAGCTGGCCATAGCCGCCGCCACCTCCCACTACCTGGCTCAGCCAGCCGGGGAAGGCTACTAAAGACCCCTGCCTAGCCAACGGGTGACCCCCATGGCAGGGGGCAGAGGCAGAGGAGAAAACACAGACCCTGCCAAGACCATGCATGCATCCAAGGCCAGAGTCCAGGCCGAGCGCCCCCTCCTGGGATACTCTATCAACTGGGCTAGCCTGTGGGTCCCTCCCTATCATCCTCCCCACAAAGGGAAGCACATCCTAGCATGGCCAGAGGTGGAGCTGGCAGGGAGAGAGAAGGGGGTTCCAGCCAGACTACCTCTACTCCTTCAAGCCCTCTGAGGCACTAAGTGGGGGTGGGGCGTGAGGGGGCGCTGCTCTCACCCTTGGCAGAGCTGTCATTTCCACCAAATGTCGAGAGGTTTGTTTACCTGCCTCTGGCCTCTGTGTCCAGTCCTTGGAGCTATTTATAAGGCCCTCAACAGCAGAGCACAGGAGAGGGCTGCAAGGAGCACTGCAGGCCAGAACAGCATGGTTTCATCTCTCTCTGCCTCCCCCAACATCAAACACAACCACCATGATCAGCCTACAAACTGTGGGGCTTTCATCCTCAAGACCCCCAAATCTTTGCCCCCTCAAATGGAGAAGACCTCGCTGCTCACTGTGGCCGCAGTAGAACCAATGTGCCCAGAGCCCAAGCCCTGAGGCCTGCCACCCTCCACAGTCCCCTCCCACCAAGCATCCCCCAACACCAAGAGACTTACTGGCTGGGGATGGTGTGCTATATCCACTAACTGGAAGCTGGTGCTGGAGGGTGGTCAGAGCGCCTGGCGGGGAGAGTCCACCCAGCATTGGGGGGAAGAAGAAGGCGTAGGGGGGCACTGGGTACCCATTGAGGTGCCCGCCCCCAGGTGTCGGGCAGGAGCTGCTGTTGCTGGCCATGCCAAGCAGCCGCAGTCAGAAGGGCAGGCAGACAGTCTGGCAGGGGGCTCTGGCAGGCTTCAGGCCGCCCCTCCTCGGAGCATGAGGCCTGGGCCCAGAGGGGGTTTGGGTGGTCAGCCCACCCCCCCTTCTGTCCTGGAGCTGCTGTCCAAGGAGGGTAGGCTAATCTTGGCCTCCTGGAGCCCCCACCCTAGCGGGGGGCCAGGTGGGTTGGGGGACGTCTCAAGAGCTGGTCCTTTGGTCAAGCAGTTCTGTGAGCTGGCACTTTCCCGGGAAGGTCCAGAGCTGGCCTTCAGGGCACCAAAAAGGATGCCACTCCTAGATGGGTCCCGGCTAGGCGGCTGGGGGGGCCATGTCCTGTGATGCTGCAGAAAGAGGAAAGACAGGTGAGTGGGCACTGAGGAGCAGGCACATAGGCATTCCCCGTGGAGCTCCCCAACCTGGGCTGCCGGAGATTTTCCCGTGGCACCCAGCTGAGCAGACAGCTGGCACCATGCCTGGCTGGCAGAGACAACCTGGGAGCAGGGCCCAGACACTGCTGGGGGTGACAGGATAGTACAGCCAGGCTGGGAAGACAGAGACAGAGCCCAGAATCTTGGAGGGCCTCTCACCCACAATCCTGAGGGGAAAGGGTCCACAGTGCCACCCCAAGGGATCACTGCAGCAGAAGCAGGCAGCTGGCCCTCCTTCCCCAAGGGGGGTTACCTGAGGTCAAGATGCAGAGAACGTGTGCTTGGGGGGAAGAGGGAGGAGGAGGAAAAGCCGCTTCCCTAAAGCATGGGCACTTCTCAGAAAAATGACTCCTAAGCTGGGGGCCCCTCTTACACCACTTCCCCCCCCCAAAATTGAAGCCCCAGCACCCCAGATGAGTTTGTCCCACAGGCCCTGGGAGGAGCTCCATTTACATACACACAAATAGGGAAATGGGAACCAAGGACTCCTAGGCACCCCCTTCAATGCTTAACAGCAAGGGACAGGCAATGTAGGAGGGCAGGGACTGCCCAGGAAGCCTCCTACCCCCAAGCAATAAAGGGGCAAGAGAGATTGATCTCAAGAGTTCACCCACATACTTCCGTCTGCAGAAGCAAAACACATGGAATGGGGTGGGAAATGAAAGGTCAGATGCCCCTCTCACCAGTGTGTACACAAATCCACACCCTGTTTGAGGAGCTGGGACCAGAGAATATGCACAGATAATACCATGTGGTAGAGAGAGACAGAGATGAACCCAGAGATTCCAAGACACAGTGAGACAGGCAGCAATGAGAGCAGAGAGAGAACACAAGAAACAGATCCACAAGACGATGTTTCATATCCATTCTGGGATAGGCTATACATAAATACATAGATATGTATTTATATATGAATATATATATATACACACATGAAAGACACAAGAAAAGAGATAGACAAAAAGAAACATGGCCAGTCAAAACCACAATGAGATACCACTTCACACCCACTAGGATGGCTACAATCAAAAAGACAGACAATAACAACTATTGGCAAGGGTGTAGAGAAATTGAAATCCTCATACATTGCTGGTTGGAATGTAAAATAGTATAGCTGCTTTAGAAAACAGTTTGGCAGTTCCTCAAAAGGTTAAACATAGAGTTAGCATATGACCCAGCAATTCCACTCTTGGTATCTTCTGTATCTACCCAAGAGATATAACAACATAAGTCCACAAAAAGACTTGTACACGAATGTTCACAGCAGCACTATTCATAATAGCCAAAACGTGGAACCAACCTAAATGTCATCAACTGATGAATGGATAAATAAAATGTTGTATATCCATACAATGGAATATTATTCTGCCAAAAAAAGGAGTGAAGTACTAATACTACAATATGGATATTCCTTGAAGACATTATGCTAGTTACAAAAAACCATATATTATATGATTCCATTTATATGAAATGCCCAGGATACACAAATCTATAGAGACAGAAAGCAGACTTGTAGTTACCAAGGGCTAGGGTGTGGATTTGAGGGAAATGGGAAGTGGCTGTTGATAGGTATAGGGACTCTTTTTGGGGTGATGAAATGTTCTAAAATTCACTGTGGTGGTAGCTGCACAACTCTGTGAATATACTAACATCACTGAGTTGTATACTTTAATGGGTGAGTTTCATGGCATGTGAACTCCATCTCAATAAAGCTGTTTTTAAAAAACAGAAGAAAAGAAACAAGGCCACAGAGACCCAAAGTAAGAACTGTCCCTTTCCAACACCCTTCATCCCCAGCCCCCGCCGCAAGCTCAGGACATACCAGGTTCCAAGCTCCAAGTCTCAGACTCCAGGCTCAAACCTGGAGTCCAGGGGACATGCACATGGCCAGCATTTGGCTGAGGATCAGGCCTGCGATAGGGGAGTTCCTGCCAAGGCCACTATGTAAGAGGCCAGGACTTCTGGGCCCAGCTGGGCCAGCCAGTCAGCCTGTGTTGAACTGAGGGAGAGAGGGAAGGAGGAGAGGAGGGGACAGGTACTGGCTAGGGAAGGGGCAGTTACACCAGGAGTAAAATCTGGACCTTGTTAATTAAGATAATTTTTACCGTTACTCATTATGACAACCATAGGGCCTCTCTCCTTGCTCCAGAATGAGGTGCCCTCTTCCCTCCCCAGGCCCCTGCCAATTCCCTCCTAGGCTGAGAGGGCTGACGTCAAAGGAACAGGGGCTCCACACCCCTGTGGGGCCCCGCACAATGGGAACTTGAGCTGGGGGAGCTAGGCAAGGGAAGGAGGGGCTGGCTGAACCTCATAGGTGCCTACAATTGGACCCTCACACACAAATACACACCACACACTTGCAGAAACTCATGCACGCAGGTCTATAGAAAACATCTGGGTGGGCAAGAGCACACTTGCAGCCCAGCCTGTGTGTGTGCGGGCACGCATGTAAGGAGAGGGAACCTAGAGATACCATCTCTCCACACCTGGGCTCCACCACACAATGAACACAGTTCAGAACTTGTGTGCATGGGCCCCAGTACACAGCTCCCCAAAGACACACAACCACAGCCCCACAGTTTCCCAAACTGCACATTCCCTGGTCATTACACAGCAAGGATGGCCCCTGAACGTGTTTCTTCTGCCAGAAGACACTCTGAGACCATCCCTGGGGGCCCAGCCTATGTACAGCAGCCTCCACAACACACACCAGAGTCCACAAACACTCATGTAGATTCACATCCACATGAGGTGAGGCCCAGGAGGCAGCTCACCCAAAGCAAAGCCTCCTGAACCAAGGCTGAGGCCCAGAAAGCCAATTGTTACAGACCCCAGGCATCCTGACCCAGCTTTTGGAGGGTGGGGGATGGGTTCAGTCAGTCCAGCCTAGACCTTCTGGAACCCACCCTTGTCCCCAGAAAAGAGACAGAATTAATGCTTTAACTCTGCCCCTGAGGAGTTTGAAATTGGACCAAACTTCAACTTCCCCAAAGATCCCCCCACCCCCCACCAGCCACAGGTATATACTCCAGGGTGAAGCTGGAAGGCCTCCCCCACCCCATGTCAGAGCCTCCAATATGCTTAACCCAGCTCAGCCTGCAAACAGCAGTGCAAAGTTACTCAGCTCCCTGGGAAGGGCCTTGAGCTGCAGGAGGGGGTAAAGGTCACAGAACTGGGCCAAGGGCCAGGCAGACCAGGAAACAGGCATGGGCAAAGGCAGGGATGAGGAGGGTGGAGACAAAAGAGCATAGGTCCTGCCTCAGAAGGTCCTCCAGGAGCCACGACTCTCAGGGAGACACCTGGGCCCCAGCCCCCTGCACCCAGGGAGGGGTAGAGAAGGCCCTGTCAGAGAATCGAAACCAGCACCAAAGAGAGGGAAAACAAACCACCCACATCCAACCTCCACCCTATGCCAACCACCTCCACTGCCCACGGGTACCCTCCCCTGAGAGAGAGAGAGAGAGAGAGAGAGAACCACAGACCCACACCTCTGATATACTGAGCCTAGCCCAAGCACAGCAGAAGAAAGGGTGGGGGGCTGGAATGCCTGCAACCAGCCATGCACCCCTGCTTGCTGGGGCCTCCTTCATCCCTAGAAGGCGTCAGCATCCCCTCCCCAGTGTCAGGCGTCTGTAAACTACCCACTGGATATACCCCAGAGTCACACACCTAGAGAAAAAAGTGAGAGCTGCCTGGGCCACAAAGATGGTAGAAAGAACCCAAGGTCTGAAGGGTCAAATCTCAGCTCTGCCACTCTGGCTGACCTTACACAAGTCACTTAACCTCTCTAAGCGTCTGTTTACCCGCCTGTGAGCTGCCTACCTCAACAACTGGTTGTGTGATTTAAGAGAGGAAGTCCTGGAAAGCACCTAGCCCAGAGCCTCCCATCCCCCCC